ACACAGACACAGACACAGACACAGACACAGACACAGACACAGACACAGACACAGACACAGACACAGACACAGACACAGACACAGACACAGACACAGACACAGACACAGACACAGACACAGACACAGACACAGACACCGACACAGACACAGACACACACACACACACACACACACACACACACACACGCACACACACACACACACACACACACACACACACACACACACACACACACACACACACACACACACACACACACACACACACACACACACCCACCCACCTACCCCGACTCACCCCAGCACCCCAACGTACCTTTCCATGCTTTTTTAACAGCCCTTGGACTCTACGCCTTGTCTTCAGCCGTCTGAAGCTCCAGAAATTCCCTGGTTTTTGTGATTCCGGGCCTGGGCCGTGGGAGCCGATGTGACCATGGTACCAACTCCCCAGAGGATGTAATTCGTCTGGTAGTCCATCAAGGCCTGCCAAAAGAAGGCTTAAGCAAGAACCCCGGGGGCGGGGTGGGGTGGCTCAAGAGCCAAGAAGGGTCCCTGTTTTGTTGCGAATCCCCTTCCTGTCAACTGTGAGTGGCATGCCCATACCTCTCGTGCTGAACTGTGCGCCCGAACCTGTTCATGAAGCCTTTTAGCACCCCAACTTCAAGAGCTTTGTACCATGTGACGCGTTGCATCCTTTGGTGAGGCCTCGCCTCTCTCACACACACATGCCCTGAGCTCTATACCTTGAAGCCTCACCTCTGAAGCATGTGCAGGCAAATCCTACACAAACTAGAAAAAAAGTCACACTAAGGATCTCGGAAGGAATCGGCCGCCTCAAGGTTTTGCATCAGGATGGTATGCGATTCCTGCAGCCGGGCTTCTTCCAGGGATTTGGACTCTGTCACGTAGATTTAGTCCCTCGGCAGCTATCTTAGCATTCTTTTGCAACCATTCGGTGGCAGCAAAGTTCCTGTCGGGACTGCGTTTTGGGTCGCGGACCTGCTACGAGTACCACTAGAGGCAAATGTAGGGTGGGTCCTTTGCTTGTGTAGTGGCAGGTCTTAAACACACTGGATTCGTTTGGGGACTCCCAAAAAAAAGCAAGGAATAGAATGACAAATATGTTGGGACATAAACGCGGGTCCCTGATTTGGAGATGTAGCCATCCTCAAGTCGCTGCACTTGTAAGCCTTAAAAGCAAACGAGCGACAACACCGAGAGTCCAGAGCTTGGGTTCACCCCCCCAAAACCCTAAACCCTAAACCCCTTTTGCATCTGGACTGCGGGGGCCAATCGCCAGATTACTTGCCGCAACCCTAAGCCCCTAAACCCTGAACCCTGAATTGCCCTTCAACTGTACCCTAAGCCTCCTTTAGGCCCTAAGCCCCCCAACCCTACCAAACCGTCACTCCGTGACTTGCAAAACTCTTGGGGCTGATGGAGACCCCTTTAATTCACCTCGGCTTCCTGCCGAGAAGCGCAGACCTGGATTCCCACTAACCCAACCTTCCCCCATGCAAAATTTTGTGACGCGACCCCCCCCCCATCCTGTGGGACCCCCCCAATCACTTGGAGGAGCTGCAAACCGATGCCGTGGAGGGTCCCGCCTGTCGGTGGCTCCTATAGAAGGAGTGCCCTCCCCCCTCCACCCCCCCCCCCTTTAACCCCGCTGCCCTTCCTCCCCTTTTTTTGTGAAACCCTCTTTCCTCCTTTCCTGTCCTGGGGCCGGCCCGGCTGCCGAGGCGGCGCGCGCAAGCGTTTACAATTATCCTTCAGATCCTTTCTTGCGGGGCTACTTACCTGGACCCGCTGACGTCGTTCCGATGTAGGCGCGAGGCGAAAAATAAACCTAACCTACTACAGCCGCATTGGCTATGCGAACGTCCACAAAGGGTATCGGAGCCACAGCGAGGCATCCAAAACCACTCCTGTACTTACCCTTAATCTTCAAACTTCAAGCATCCTCCGTTACCGCCCCTAGTAACATAAAGCTTCTTCTCAGGGTCCTACATGCTCAGGGTAAGGATGACACATTATCAAGCCCGAAAAAGGGGCGCTCTGGTTCAGAAAGCGAACTTCCCACTAGTCCCATCGAGCGAAGTATGAAACTCTATCTGTAAGCTTTTGAACACATACTGAACTGGGGGTTTACGAAAACAAGGGACTCCTATAATAGCCGCCCAAAATAGTACGATTCCCAATAAAAAGACCCCAATAAATAATCTGCCCCTAATTTCAAAAATACCAACTTGTAATTCGGTCGTCAGCGCACCCCGCCTGGAGGCTCTCCAGGACAGCTTCGGTACCCGCCCTGACGGAGTCCTGCACGCAGAACAGGTCGCACATCACCTGCCAGGAGAAAGCAGCGTAACAATCCTCACAGAAGCACTAACAGGAGTTAAAAAGACAAATCCAAAATCATGATGTGACCCCGTTTTCCGGAAACTACTGCATGACGGCTGTGAGGCTGGCTTGTTTCTGGCTTTGGGGTTTTGTGGCTTCATCGTTCAAACTTGCTTCCTCTCCAATCTTGGGTTGAGTGGCCACAACGTCGGCATTCTAAAGATGAAATGCTTAAATCACGCGTGCTGAGCAGATACCTGAAGCCCTTTACTTTTGCGCTCAGCACTCGTTGTGCCCTCCATGAAGGTTCCAAGACCATCTGGCTGAAGGCGATTCTGAGCAGAACAAGACTTGTGTTAGGTCTCTTGAATTTTATATAGGGTTTATATAGGGTTTAGGGTTTAGCAAGCCGGCAGAAGTGCTCGTACATTCGCATGCTTTGGCACATTGTGACGTGTCCCGGGTACCTCGCACAAGAAAGTGCACATAAGTTGTTGCGGCTTTGGGAGGGGCGTTTGGGGTTACTTATACAGACCGCCGAGCACAAGCTTGAGAAAGTCCACGATAGTCAGACCCTTGATGACATCCCATTTCATCAATACCTCACTCACAAAAAGCTGGTCACCTTCGACAGCCCGTATTGCCTTAGCTGCTCTCCGTCGCTTCATTGCACCAAGTACCAGTGATTAACCCGCGCACGGGCACTACCACGTGCTAGTGGAACTCAGAAGCCGCTAGGTCCTCTTTTAAATAAAGGACTGCGTGAACTGAAACCCGGTGCTGTGGGGCCCTAACTGGTAATCCTCAGAGCTACCCATGCGTGGGTGCCAGTGCTTTGAGACAGGCCCGAACGCCCAAACTGCCAAGTGGCAGAGGCAAGCAGTCCGCCGCTGCCGCATCAGCAAGCTTCTTCTTGTACCTGAGCTCCAAGTTGAAAGCCATGAACGTCAGGGTTTGGTGTCTGCCATCTACCCACCCACTGACTTGCAGCTCCGGTTTAGAAAAAAAAACAAACCTTTCCATTTCCCGGAACCCAGCTTCGAGACTTCGTTGTCTGTGGACTCGAAGATTGGCAGCGTTTTCCCCACCATCTCCTCAAGGAGAGACCCTCATGGTTTCTCAGTCCTAGACAGTCCGACCTTACAGAGCTGAGAAAGAGGCAAAAGCCGCCCAATCGATACCTCCGACCGACAGGATCGCCCGAACAAGTATTCCAGGAATTGCACACCAAGGCCGTACAAACGAACTCGACAGGACGCATTGGCACCTAGGCCATCGATGTTATAAGAGCCCATGCTGAGTTGTAGACCTAGGGTTGTAGAACTTCGGGCGGGGATCACTGATACGCTACCCTACTACTGGACCTCCTGATCAGGTAACACCCAAGATACCCCCCAAGATACGACCCTCACTTGGCGGAGAGGGCTTGTGCTGCCCCAAGCACGCGCCCGAGTCTAGACACCACAACTCCTTCGCAGAACTGGACGTGCTTTCGGCGCTCGAGGCTTTTAGTGTTCTTGTCGTCCCTGCGATTTTGCCACCCAAGTCGAGGGCGGACTGGAGGTTGTTTTGGAGAGTTCCCCACCTGGACTGGCTTGTGAGGTTTTTGGGCACATAAGGATTGGCATTCCGCTTTCTGGGCGAACGAAGGGTCTAAGTTGGGAGCTCTTCCGGCAGTTCCTCTTCAGCACAAGAACAGAAGCATCCTCTGTCAAGGCGAGGTGCTTTGCAAACTTCTTCTGAGCTTTTTGAAATATATTTGGCTCCTTTGAAAGCGGGCTCTTCTGGATGCCTTCATCGTCGAGGAAATCCCAGCCGCCGTCGAGCGAGGAGTCGCCCTCGACAATGAGTTTGTCGTGCTCGACTTTGATCGTCTCATCCTCGCTTTCCAAGAAGTGAGGGCTCGAGAGTGAGTGTCTTTCCTGGCCGAGCAGTGCACCTTGTGTACTGCAAGTGAAACAGTGAGCCTTGCAAATAACCTCGCTTTTCTTCCTCCGCGGGAGGGGGGGGGGGGTTATTGGCCCGGTCAATCCAGAAACCTGGTCAGGAAGCAACAAATGCTGGCCGTAGCAGCCGATGCAAACCCTAAACTTTAAACGGAAACGTTGGCTGGCAAATCCTGAACCTTACAGGGGATAGGGTCTGGGTAACGTCTAAACCTTAGAAGGAGACGTTGATTGGCAAGCCCTCATATCAAAACGCTATAGTGGTTTGTGGCATCTGCGCAGACCTGCTTCACTTGCATCCCAGGCCTCCCTAAGTCTAACGATGGCAGTCCCATGATCAGGAGGTCATATGGACGTATCCCGACATCAGATGGGCGCGGCAACCGGGATACCTCACTCCAAGGAGTTTCTCTCCTCCAAAGCACCCTTGAGAAAGGGTAGAGTATCGCTCCATACGAAGAGCTGAAGCAGGAATACCCCCAACAATTCCGACCGTCTGCCCACCACACGGCGACGCATATGAAGGTACAAAGTGTTCCACAATAAGCGTACCCCAGGACAGATACGCCTTGATCCACTTAAAAAACCAATTTGTCCTGGCGGTGCCGTCGGCTGAGGACGGGTTCTGGAGTCTTCCGCCCCAAGCAACGAGGCGGCTCTGCGGAGCCCACGGGATCAAAAGCCACGGTCCAATACCAGTAGGAGGACAGCCACAGCTCGTCCAGGATTGGAAATTACCCTCGGGCTCCCCAAGAAAGAGGGGGATCCTGAGTGGTTGTGGTCGTTGTTGTAGTGGTCGTGTTTACCAGACTCGCAAGCCGTTCCTTTTGTTCTGTCACGGATGCACGCTGAACGGCTCCGTCCGCGCCACCCTAGACATATTGCGTCAAAGAGACCCGGTTCAAAACTCCTGCCCCCGGTGCGAGAAAACATAAACAGAACAGAAAAAAAACCTTCGAAGTGAAAAGAAGTCTTCTGCGCCTCGGCATGTACGGCCTCCTTCACTTCTTTTGCTGCCGCCTGCTTCGATGCCTCTCCAGTCTCCTTTGCAGCCTCCACTCCATCCATTCCCCAATTTCCCCAAGGGATTGCTCCCACCACAGCAGCTGCCAGCTCCAGCGCCAGCTGTGCCTTTTGAAGCCTGAACTTAACCACTTTTCAACAAAGGAGCTTCGGATATCAAGCATTGGCATGGTCACCTACAGCTTCAGGTGCAAAACTGCTTGGGTCCAGGGCAAGTAAAGTTGCACAGTTCATGCTTAAATCTTCCGGACCGAGGCGCAGAAACCAGGCCAGAGATGCAGACACACAGGGAGAAAATAAGGCAACTGCGACTATTCCTTTTCGCACATGTACATTTTTCTGAAGATGGAACAGACAATGGGAAATTCTGCAATACTACGTATGTCTTCCCGAAAACAAGGACCAGAGTCTTTTGGCAGATGCCTGGGGCCCCCCAATGCAACAGGACTTATGCTATGCGTGCATGACCCCAACTGTGCAACCTTAGTTCCGAAATCGCTGTTCAGAGAACAGCGAACCCTCCAAGAGCACCCAGCAAACTAAACTTCTAGAAGTTTAGCGGTTCCGACAGCAGCTCCATTTGTTGGCATTCCCTTCATGCCAGGACGCGGCTCTACAACTACAGTACTGCGAAATAACAAAGTAGCAGCAATACTAGCTGCCAAGGAACCTGGCTTGCTGGACGATGAAGTCTTGCGCTCCCTTGCAAATTGGAGCACTCGCGGTACATTCATCCGTCAGCTTTCGGCCCTAAACCCTAAACCCTGAACTCTAAACCCTTTTTTTTTGAACCCAGGCTCTGCACTATCAGCTGTTTCCCTAAACCCCAAACCCTAAAACCTGAACCCCGAACCCTAAACCCGAAACCTCAAAGGCCCCCTTTTCGGGGCGCGCATGTGGAGGACGTTGCCTACCTTGCTGCCTCCCGAAGCAGCTGCCTCAATCCAGGGTTTAGGGTGTCTGCCTGCTCCTGCTTGTTCTCGGCCGTGGCCTTCATGTAGGTGCGCTCCTGCTTGCAGTGGGTCTTTAAAGCCCCACACCTGTACTCTTAGATGCTTTTAGCATGCTGCTTCTGGCATGTAGGGGCTCTTCTAAGAATCCTTGCGAAGAAGGGACCAAAAAGGGAATGCCACCTCCTTAATGTGTAGCCTTAAAAGGGGATCCTAACCAAACAGGGAACCTTTAATTATGGCCATTTTGGGGACAGATCTTTTGTACAACTACCACTGTTCTGGCATGCGCTGCATCCTGCAGTCGCCTCATCCGAATGCCTGCAATCCTCAAGGAGTGCCTTTGAAACGTCGAGTGTTCACACCACAAGCAGCGCACAGTAAAGGTTAATTCTAATTCGACACATGTGTTTTGCGCATGGTAAAGGCTATTCAACGGCTATTCTAACCATCGTTAACGCATGAATCCGAGCCTTGGAGCGATGGCTGCAACGCCAAAATGCACGTTCGGTGATCCCCGTCTTGGTGCCACCCTGCCAAAAAAAGCAGGTTTTCTGAGGACTTCCAAGATGTCAGTTGAAGTGGAATATCTCGTGGGTGAACAAGGTAGTAGGCTGAACATTCAAGATCGAAGCTGCAAAGGTGTCTTTGGCAGTTTCCGTACAAGTAGCAGCATATGCCGGTCGTTCTCCAGGTTTCTCATTTATCTGTTTGCAATATCAAGAAGCAAGACTAAACTGTCAATGGGCCAATGGGTGTTGAGGCTTTATCGGGGTTTTACGGAGCCCTCAGCGTGACACTCCCCCAGCTTTCAATGAAGGAGTCTTGGGGCAGAAATGGCAACTGTGATCGGACCAATGTTATTTGATAACTTAACATGCAATATGACATTTTATAACCCTGCCTGCGGGCTGTCCCCTTTCCCGAGCCTCAACTCCCTTTAATCTTCTTGCACGCCTTCTCTGCCCTCCAAACGGAGCCCTTCTTAGACCTCCTCCAGCCTCAACGTGAAGTTTCAGTTGTAAATGCAAAGGCTTCAGAGCCGACAACCCTCCATCAACCAAGCTCGTTGCACCACACCACACCACAACTATCTCAGTCCATCAGGGGATGTCCGACATTTCTTATGGAATACAGGGAAGTGAGCTCAACCTTCAAGTCCACCTGACTTGAAATGTCGGTTCCACACATGTCATGTCCATTCAAAAGTGAAGGACATGGGGAACGGTCTGCTTGGGCTTACACGGCCCATTTCGCGTCTGATATCCATTACCTCCAAAAGCTGAACAAGGCATGTTTTCCCCGACAGCCTCCGAAACGCTCACGCGGCTACAGTGGCTACAAGAGCATAGTGCCCTAATCATAATCGCATGATGCACTGGGGTCTGTGAAGCCGTTCTTTGTTCGCGTGTAATTTTTAATTCCTCATGTCCGAGTCTGGCAGGGTGCCAAAAAATGAACTGGCTATAAGGAGGCAGAATTCCCGCCTGCACCATCTTGGCATTGAAGGTGTGGTAGCAGGGGTTCATTTTCGAGATGTCGCCCTTGTATAAGTTGGGGTGCTCCAAAAACCTAGGCAGATGCATGTGGTCAGGGCTTCAGAGTTCAGAGAATCCCTTGCGCGAAAATGGACACAATTTAATACTCGATCTCCGGAGACGTTGACGCATACGTATTGTTCTGAAAACCCCAGCCGACTGCTCCAGTCCACGCCCTCTAGCCATGGCGGCACTACATGCTATCAAATGGCATGAAACCGCTTGTCAGCGCGAAATCGACTACACTGGTCTTGGACAACGCTCGAAGTAAGCTTCGAAGCAAAAGGCTTTGAGCTCCTGAGCTCCGAGCTTGGGGCTGCAGTATTCTTTGTAGTCCGCCTGCGTGGCCGTGAATTCCATCAGCTCTGGGTACGAGGGCTTCTTCCAATGGGTCTGGCGCTTCACCTGCCAAGGCTGCAGGGTTTCGGGCACAATGTCAACTTCAAGCATGTACGCCCCTGCCGCTCGAGACTTTGGGTCAGAGTTCAGATACGGAGCTGCAGGTTTCCTGTTTTTGCAGCCGTTGACAACCAGTTCTAAGTCAAAGCTGTCCCGGCAGCGAGGCACTTTCGGAGCTTGGCCTGTATGGCTTCCAGTCCTATCTGCTGCGTGATGCTGAGCTGATGGGAACAAATGCGGATTGCGCCAGCACCGCCGCAATAGCAGCAGCAGCAGCAGCGGCAGCGGCAGCGGCAGCGGCAGCGGCAGGGCAGTGGCAGTGGCAGCGACAACAAACCACAACCACTACCACGACAACAACAACAACAACAACTACTACTACTACTACTACGACGACTACTACTAATTACTACTACTACTGAGTATTTCGGTCTGTTTACCAGGACGCGTGAAAGCAAATAAAGCTCTCACTTGGGTTTCTGGATTTGTTCGGACTGTTGGGTTAGGCTAGGCTGCAAGCCCGAGCCGGGGATCAGGTTGACGGAGGGCAGAGTAAGAACAACAAGAAGTCATGGCAATCGGTTCTAAGGGTTTAGAGTTTAGGGTCTCGATGCGGCTTCGAAATCCTACAAAAATCATTATGCTAATAACATGTTGCCTTTGTCGACCTTGCTATGTATGGCTATAATTCATCAGAAGAACCCTACTGGCGAAAAGCATAGTTTTGCCCAGTGACATCTACTGAGTAGTTTCATGTAGTTTCACTAAGACTCGAAGATCAGCCTGGGGCTCGCTCTCCGAGATCAGCAGCCCGATGGACGTTGCTGAGATGGGGCCGTCTGTGATCCTGACTCATCATCACAGGACAAGTCTGGATTCCACATCTTTTTCTTCCCTCTATCGGAAAACCAAGCCTTCCGAAAACACCTATATGGTGTTTTGTGGCTTTCAAGCTTTTGCAGACGGTAGCCACTCACTCCTCGACCCACTTCCAGCAACTCACGACAGATGTTTTGTGCTGTAGAGAAGAATCCAAGAGCAGCTCGAAGAACCAACCAAGTCATTGCTGCATGAAAACAGCGAGTGCTAGGAGAGAAAAGGAAACGACTAACTTTAAATTCTCAGATAATGCAGATCATGCATAATCGGACCTGCGAATTGCTATGAAATCCTCCAGAGCCTCTGCGTGGTCCCTCTTATGGGCTCCAACGCTGTAACTACGCAGAAAACACATGGCGGTCTCCGTTCTGATGAACTGACTATACTGGAACAGGAAAG